CAGACATGGGGGCGGAGAAGAACGAACTGGGGATGAGGGTGGAGAAAACAGTGCAACAATGAATGAATGAAAACCCCAAATCTCTGTAAATGTTCATTAAAACTAATAAAATTTAATTTAAAAAAAAAAAAGAACAGAGTCACGCTGAACACTGCACAGTCTTTATGGTCATTGCCATGTTTGAACCTACTGGTGTAGCCACTTCGTCTTTCCGCCTCATTGAGGGTCTTTTTTTCCCACAGACCCTCTCCTGTTCAGAGACTGATTCCTCCTGGTAAAATATCCAGAGTACATTAAACAAAGCCTCGACATGATTGATTCAGAGAAGCATTCTGGCTCTACTTCTAAGACAGATTTATTCATTTTCCTGCAATCTATGATATAATCACCAAAACCATAGCTCAAAGGTATAAATTCTTCTTTGTTCATTATCCAGCTTTCACAAGCACATGAGCCACTTGAAAATACTGTAACTTTGAGTCAGACACACCTTAATCCTCAAAGTCACAGTTTTTAACATCTTAAAGAGGTCTTTTGAGATAATCTAACTCAGTGCAATAAATAATAGTCCACAAAACTATTGCCACATGTGGCTGTGCAGTGGATTAAGCATTGGGATGCTAACCAAAAGGTTAGTGACTTGAATCTACCAGCCAGCTGCAGTTTGGCAGAAAGGTGTGGCAGTCTGCTTGCATAAAGGTATACAGGCTAGGAAAACCTCTGGGTTTTCTACTTCTTCCCTGATTTCCACTCTGTCCTGTAGGATCACTATGAGTTGGAATTGATTCAGAGTCAGTTTTTAGAACCGTTTTGGGGGTAGGGTGGTGGGGAATGAAGCCTTTGGCATGTGGAAGACTGAATGAAGTTTGTAGCGGAGCCCTAAGTCCATCATTTGAGTTCTGACCCTTAAGCCACCTCTGTGACTTGGCTCCCTGGAAGCATCAGCTGAGGTGACAGGAATCCCATCCAGTAACCTTTTAATCTGAAACTGATTGTGTATCTCAGTCATTTTCTTTTTCCTGCTCCTGTGGTCCCACCTGTAGCAGTGATGGATTGTGATTGCCACCAGTTGGTGGTTTTCTTTGTCTCCAAACCTTATAAATGGAAACTGTGGCCATGATTCGGCAGGATTCCTTCGGCACCATTCCGAAGGCTAGCCCCATTCTGAAATGATAATGTCGTCATTTGTCCTGTTTATACCTAAATGAAATACTCTTTATAGACTGTGTAGAGAATATCTCTGTAGATGTCTCTTCAGAATATGCCTTTGAGTTGTGATGTTGGTGAAGAATATTGAGTGTGCTGTCAGAAGAACAAACAAATCTGTCTTCATGGATGGGCAACCAGGGTGCACCTTTGAGACAAAGATGCTGAGATTTTGTCTTACATACTTTTGGCATGTTGTCGGGAATGCCTAGTTCTTGGAAAAAGATATCATGCTGGACAATGTAGAGGGTCATTGAAAGAGAAAACCTTCAACAGGCTGGACCGACACAGTGTCAGCAGTAATGGGCATGCGCATGAGGATGGAGAAGGTTCTGATCTAGTGTTCATATGGTCACTAGGAATCATAGTCAGTTTGAAAGATGTTGTTAGTGTTAGATGTCGTCGAGTCGAGTACAACTCATAGTGACCCTATGAACAAAAGATCTGAACCCTGCCCTGTCCTGCACCATCCTCACACTTCCTGACACACAAAAGCCCATTGCAGCAGTCACTGTGTCCACCCACCTGGCTGAGAGTTTCCTTTCCTTCACCAACCCTCCACAACTACATAGAATGTTTGAATCTCGGTATCTTCTTTTCCCTGTAACAGAAGATTAGGTCAGGCATTTTTATAGTTAATATTTGGCTTCATGAATAAGAAAAAAAGTCTTAAAAATAAGATGTTTATTACTCGTTTTTCCCACCACAGTGAAGAGCATGGTAATTGTTGGTGTGTACCATCAAGTTAGAACCTTAGTGGTAAATCCTTACCACTGAGCTACAAGAGCTCCCTAGAGGAAGCTTGTTGTTAATATGTGCCGTTGAGTCAGAACAGACCCATAGCTAATCCTCCAGTGGGTTTTCAAAGACAGTAAATTTCATGAGAGGAGATTGCCCATGTTTCTCCCATGAGAACTGCAGGCCTTTCTATTGACAGTACTGTTTCTGACCACAAGACATCAAAGCTCCTTGTAGAGAACGTAATATAATAAATTCACCTGAGCCTCTGCAGTTGTGGAGAGTATAGGATGATAAATTCCCATGAGCCCTTGCAGTACAATGTTTAAGTGCTTATCTGGTAATCTAAAGTTTAACAGTTCAAGCCCCAACTCACAGAAGATGTGGGTTTTCTTCCATAAAAATGATAACCTTTTTGAGGAAGCGCCAAACTGCCTTCCAGAAAGGTTGTACCATTTTACAATCCCACCAGCAATGTGTAAGAGTTCCTATCTTGCCGCATCCTCTCCAACATTTATTACTTGCTATCCTGTTAAACTTTGCCACTGTTATTGGAATGAGATGGTACCTCATTGTGGTTTTGATTTGCATCTCTTATTGCCAGTGATTTGGAGCATTTCTTCATGTGTCTGTTAGCCATTCAAATATTTTCCTCTGTAAATTCTTTCCATGTCTTTTGCCCATTTTGTAATTGGGTTATCTGTCTTTTTCTTGTGGAGGCCCAGGAGTGTTCTGTAAAGTTTTGTTGTAAGACTCTTGTCTGAGATGGTATTACCAAATGTTTGTTCCCAGTTGGTAGGGTTTTTTTTTTCAACCTGTTGGAAAAAGTTTTTGATGCACACATGGATTTATTCTTTAAAAGATTCCACGCATCAATGTTATCCTCTTCAGAGTGTGAATTTCTGGTTGTATTTATTCCATATGACCCAGCTATTCCACTATTTGGAATATACCCTGAGAAAATGAGAACTGAGGCACAGAGATTTGTACACCAATGTTCATAGCAGCATTATTCACCATCGCAAGAACATGGAAACAGCCCAGATGTCCAACCACAAATGAATGGGTTGAGAAATGATGGTACATTCTCACAATGGAATAGTATGCAGCACGAAAGAGCAATGATTTTGTAAATTATGACCTAACTTGGGAAGGTCTGGAGAGTATTATGCTGAGTGAATTCAGTCCCACAAGATAAATATTGTATAAAACCTTTATTTTAGAATGAGTATAAGAATCCAAGAGGGGTGGGAGAAAGTGGAAGTAGAGGGATGAAGATGTGCAGGGGGGGAGGGGATTAATCATGGGGTTGTACAATTTGATGGGGGTGAGGGGAGTATAATTGAAAAAAACTTGTTCTTGAAAACAGTGTATTCTAATTTTGTAAATAAACTAGTAGAATTTTTATTTTTAAATTAAAGTCTTAGGAAGCTCTGTTGGTCTAGTGGCAAAACGCTGTACTGCCATCCCAGAGGTACGTGGTTCAAATCCACCAGATGCTCTGCTGGAGAAGGAGAAACAATCTCCTCCTGTACCAGTCAAGATCCAATTTGGCGGTACACACACAAAAATAATAAAATTTTTAAAAAAATTTAAATGATAGTCTTGTAAACACTATAGGCTGTTCTAGTCTGTCCTAGAGTGTTAGAGCCAGAATCAACTGCACAGTTGTTTTTTTTTTTATCCATCTCCCAGATTCAGCAATTCTTCTGCTGCTGTTATTTAGCCAGAATTCTTAAAACTACATATCTGAGTTTTTCCTCTTTTAAATTGTTGTTTCTTTAGCTTATTTCCGCAGTGATTGCAGATAATATACAAAACCTAACTTTATTACAGGAAGTGGAACGAGAAATCTCGTTCAGAACAGAATGTGGACTGTATTACTCGTACTACAAGCAAATGCTGCAGGCTCCGACCCTCAAGCAAGGTAATTATGACTGGTGGTGCCCTCTGGGCCCATTGTGTTCTTCTCGATATTTCAGTCAAAACATTCTGATCGCTTACAAAACCTGTCTAGGTTTTACTTGAACTTGTGTAGTTTTTTTCCTGGTGAACATATAATTGGTCCATAGCAATGTTTTGTTCTGAAAGCTCACTAATACTTTAAGTAATTCTCTCAGTTCCTCTCAGCGCTGCCTCATCCTAATCTGTTTGGGATTTCTTGGGTTGTTGATTTTTCCTTATTTTGGAAGAGGTTTTTGCAGACAAAAGAATTATTATCTGTGAATAAAAGTCATTTGAGTAATACAAATAAAAATTACAGTTTGTACTCTCGTCCCCAAACTCCCTTTCATGCCTTTATTTTGTTAATTGCCATTATTTGTACATTTCAACTTTTCCTAAGTGGTCTAGAGTCTATATTTTTTTATATTTTTATTCTTATTCCATCTAATGGAGGCACCAAAAAGGATCTTTCCTTCTCAGTATTATTCTTGACACGTTGGTACACATGACAGAATTACCCTTCTCTAGGCTTTTGCTGCATTTAATTTGTGTCTGTATGCTTGGAAATCATGGTGGTTTATACCTAAGTCATGGTGATTTATACCTATATCACGATACCAATGACCTTCAAGCCATTTGCAATCATGCCAGCCCCATGTGTGTCAGTCCTTATTAGGCGCCGTTGTTGTTAATTAGGTATAGTTGTTGTGGTGGTTGTTAGGGGATCTGGCCTTGCCCTCTCCTGTACCATCATCATGAGCCCGCTTCCCCCCCGCCTGTTGGTGGACACTGTGCCACTCCACCTTGCTGAAGTCTTCCTCTCTTTTCCCAGCATGTCTTATCCCAGGACTTGCCCCTCCTAACAACATACCAGAGTATGTGTAAAGTTATGTTTCACCATCCGTGCGCTCAGGAGTGCCTTGCTCACACCTCCTGCATGACAGATTTGTTTGTTGTTTTGACAGTCCATGGGATAGTCAGTACTCAGCGTAGCCCAAAGCAAGTATAACTGTGCTGCATAGAGTTTTCTTACAAGGTACCTCTGGATGCACTCAAACCTCCAACCTTCCAGTTGGCGTTAGGTGCATTTACGGTTCATGCCACCATAAAGGCTCAAAAAATTAATCTGTTAGTGCTTGTTGACAGCCTCTTCATCCATAATAAAGCTAATTACCCATCAGCCTTTTACTTATTTGTTGATAATTATTGCTATATCCATTACTTAAATAGGGTTACAAAATAGTGATATCTCAACTCTGTCTTCCTTTCTGTATTTATTAACTGGAGTTGTATTATGTGGAAAGCCTTTTTCTCATCAATTGCTTTGTTACCCTGAAGTATGGTTTCTACAGGAAAGGAAGAACAGTGCTGATTTCTTCTATTTACTCCCGTTTACCAGTTTTGACATATTTACTAGCTTGTCGAGCATCCTATCAGGCACTGGCTCTCAGTATGAAAGGGAAGGGGCAATTGTGCAAATAAGAAATCTGAAGTGGCTGGAGGTTTGTTGTTGTTTCTTTTCTTCTTCTTTTTTTTTTGCTTGGAGGTTTTTTATTTTTACGTGTGTGTGTGTGTGTGTGTGTGTGTGTGCGCGCGCGCGCGCGCAGGGGGTGCTACTGGCATCCAGTGGGTAGAGGCCCAGTATGCTTCCAGGCATCCTCCCATGTATAGAGCAACCTCCACAACAAAGTATTATTTGACCTACGAAGCAAGAGTGCTAAGGTGGAAAAACCTTCCAATAAAGGTGTATGGTGGCCATTTTCCTTTTAGGAATCCTTAGGACCTCAGTGGTTGAAAATTGTAGATAATATTGATACTTTTTATAGCAAATGTCAAAAAAAGAGACAGCTAATCTTCTAATGGACTCTCATGTATCCATTCATGTTCTAGCTGAAATAATTACCAACTTATAACCAGTCTTGTTTCCTCTATACTCTACCTGAATTATTTCCACATAAATCCAAGTCATATAGTTTCATCTGTAAACAGGTCACTGTGTCATCTGTAAATCAGACACGTGTTATGTGTTACTGGTTTGAATTCTGACTCATGGTCCCATGGGACAGCCAAAAATCTTTACAAGAAGGAGATTTGGTGGCACAAGGTTAAGTGGAACCCACTGCAAAGATTACCCCCAAAACACCAAGCCCACTGCTGTGGAGTCATTTCCTACTTGTGACCCGTTAGGACAGAGGGAAACTGCTGAGGTTTTGAGCCGTGAGTCTATGGTATCACCCTGCCTTATCTTTCTCCTGCAGAGAACACAATGGGCTCAAACCACTGACCTGTGAGTTAGCAGCCAAACATTTAAGGTTATTAGGTACCATCAAGTCAGCTTCAACTCACAGATACTTTGTGAACAAAAACACCAACCCAAAAAAAAAAAACAAAAACACCAACCCATCCTGCAACATCTTCATAACTGCTGCTCTGCTTGAGCTTGTTGTTGGAACACAGTCCCTCTTGTGAGGGACTTGCTCTTTTTTTCTGTCCCTTTGTTTTTCCAAGTGTGAAGTCTTTCCAGGATTGGCCCTTCCCGATAGATACATGGTTTACGACACAGCGTCTCACCATCCTTCCTTCTTGAGAACATTCTGACTACACTTCTTCCGATGCAGACTGGTTGGTTGTTCCATGGCATGTTTCGTAGTCCTCAGCAGCACAATAAGTCAGAGATTACAATTCATCTTCTGTCTTCCCTATGAATTGTTCAACTTTCCCATGTGTGTGAGGCAATTGAAAATGGCAGTCTTGCTTTTTTAGGACTTTAAATAGGTCCTTGCAGCAGATTTATCTAGTGTCATTTGTGGGTTGATTTCTTGATTACTGCTTCCATGGCACTGATTTTGTAGATCCAAGCGGTGCCTTTGAGCTGTGGTGTTGGACAGGAGCACTGAACATCCCATGGACAGATATGTCTTGGAGAGAGTGCAGCTGGAGTGGTTTTTGGAGGCAGAGATGATGAGGCTTCACCTCACATACTTTGGTCATGTTGCCAGGAGGGGCTATTCCTCCTGGACATGATACTCAGAAAGGTAGAGGATCAGCAGAGGAGAGGAAGACCCTCAACCAGGTGGATTGACATGATGGGTGCTTCAGTGGGCTCTAATGTGTCAGGAAGTGTGAGGATGGCACAGGATAGGACAGGATTCAGATCTGTTGTTTGTTGGGTCGCTATAGGTCGTAATTGACTCAGCAGCACCTAACAGTAGGTGAAATGAAATTGTTGACAACGTCAGTCTTTTCTCCATTTAAAATGATGCTGCTTTTTTTGAGTTGTGAAGATTTTTGTTTTCTTTATGCCGAGATATAATCCATCCTGAAGGCGGTTGTCATTGAGTGACAGCAGTAGTTTTTCAAGTCGTCTTTGTTTTCAGCAACAAGACTGGCATCTGAATATCACACACAGGCTATTGTTCTTTTTCCCCTGATTTCGATACCATGTTCTTGATACAGTCCAGCTTTTTGGCCAGGTCTACTCGGTATGGCAGGAACACTCTGAACTCAGATCTGTTGGTGGCAGCTTTTTTCCCTTAGCTGGTTTAACCTAGCAGGTATAATTCAGATGGCTTTTTGTTTGGTCTTGGTGGGAGTTTTCTGATAAGATTGCTTAGGCCTAGGTGCAGGGAGCTGGGCTAAGCCAGAGGCCGCTCCTCGCTGGTGTTTCACATTCACCGCTGGCTCCTTAGGACACAGAAAGACGGTCCCCTCCCTTGTGATTTACAGCCTCAGAAACCCAGTGGGGGTCAGCTGTGAGTTAATTCCGACTTGATGGCAATGAGTTAATTATGAGACTCCTAACAGGCATTATTGACCTCTTTTTGTATTGTATCATGAGAATATAACGTCTGACCGTTTCTCTTTTCTGGATTAACATTGATGGCTTCCCTGTTGTGTTCATAATGTCCTTTGGATGACTTAGCACTATGGATCTGTTATCCACAGGAAGACTACCTAATGGTGGTATTAGAATTCCATATTTCCTTCCATCATTACTAGATGGAATTAATTTTCAAAGAAAAAAATGTTTTCCTAAGCAACTATTTGGTAACCCAGGTGTTGGTTACCAAATAGTAAAAATAGAGAAAAGGGAGCAAAGGGAAGGCAGAATAGATAGCAACTCATTAAAGCTGTTGCTTCAGAATGAGTCTACTCTCTAGCACCCCCTACAGGAGGTTTTTGCCTTTTTTGTGTGTATCTGTATCTTTGCAGTCACTTGTTACGCATCAGAAGTTGGATAAAGAAGAATTGATGCCTTTGAGCTGTGGTGCTGGAGAACAGTATTGAGGGTACCATGGACTGCTAAGAAAACAGATTCATCTTGATGAGGGTTAAACCAGGCTGCTCCTAGGAGGCAAGGATTCTGAGGCTTCATCTAACATGCTTTGGATATGTTGTAAGGAGGGAACCGGTCCTTGGCCATCATGCTTGGGAGTGTGGAGGGATGGCGCAGGAGGGGAAGGCCCTCTATGAGGAGGATTGATTCAGTGACTGGGGTAATCAGGATGGTTGTATTGGAGACAGTGTGATTAGCACAGAACAGAGCAGGGTTTAGAGCTTTTGTACATAGGGTCGCTATGAGTCAACAAGTGACTCAATGGCACATAACAACAACAACAACGTAAACCCATGAATCAATGTGTTTCAATACTTTCTATTCATTTACTCTTTTTAAAAAATTTTTATTGATATTTTAATGAAAATTTACCAAGAACTTTGATTTCCATTCATTCATTGTTGCACATTTTCTTCCCTACTCCCCTGCCCCAGTTTGATTTTCTCTTTAGAAAAAAATTATTTCATTGTTGCACAGCCCCCCCCCCCGTTCACTCTTTTTACACTTGGACATTTCTGTATTCGACCTACAGGATTGCCTTCAGATTGCCTGCTGTCTTATTTTTACACATGACCTCAGCAGTCTGTGCAAAGTGTCTTTAGTTCTTGGTATGATAAGATATATCAGGCCCATTTTGTAGATTTCCTATCCTTGAATTGGAATCAACCATTTTGCCAAGGATCTGTGATTGTTTTCAGTGGCAGTTTAGAGACAACAGTCTGGGTGCTAAAAATCTAAAGTCTAGAAATTGTGGAGTTGACTCTGGGTCACAGTGATTTCCCGTGGATCTAGGCAGAACTGTGCTCTGTGAAGGTTTCGATGACTAGACTTCTGACAGTAGCTCGCCAAGCCTCTCTTCCAGGTCACCTCTCAGTAGGCTTAACCATTAGCCTTAGAGTTTGCAGCTGAAGTCATGAACCAATCACACCACCCAGGCATACAAACAACAGTCATCTAGACTCGATTGCTCACTATTTCCAGCCCTTTTCAAGCACCAGAGCTAGAAAATGTTTGTTTCCTAAAAGAAAAATATATTACAAATATAGCTTTTTTTTAAATAAAATTTTTATTTTATACTGATTTACTTACGAAGTTCATTATACACTCATTTTCACACCACATCTTTCCTATTTCCTTTACCCACCTCTCCCTCCACCCATCAAATTGTGTGAAATATAGCTATTTTTAGTTTAAAGTTAAATAGAATTTTTACTCTTTTTATTTTCTGTTTGTATCTCGAGTTTCTTAAGTTGAAAACTTTGGTTCTTATGACATTTGTCACATATTTGTTTATGAGTATATGTATATAAATAATTCTTTAAAAGTAGCAATACTAATATAGTTACTAACAATGTTGTGACCTCAAAATAGGTTATTTTGGAGTTCATTTGTAATTAGCATATCCCACATTGTTGTTGTTATGTACTGTTGAGTCAGAACCAACCCATAGCTGATCCTCTGGTGGTTTTCAGAGGCAGTCAATTGTACAGGAGGTGATTTTCTATCCTTCTCCTGTGGAGCAACTGGTATATTCAAACAGCATGCCTTCACGATTGCATCACAGCTTCTTGCCACTAGGCCATCTCATAGTTGTTGTTATGTGCCATCAAGTTGCCTGTGACCAATAGTGACTCTGTGTACAGCAGCTCTGAAGCCTGCCCTGTCCTGAGTCAGTCTCATTGACTCTTAACACACCTACTCCCATTACTCCGGTCAGTGTATCTCATCCGGGTCTTTCTCTCCTTTCCTGTCCCTCCACTCTTCCAAGTATGGTATCCTACTCCTGGCCATGTGTCCAAAGTATGTGAGACAGAGCTTCAAAATCCTAGCCTCCAAGGAGAAACTTGGTTTCACCCTCTCCAAGACAGGCCTGTTTGTTATGTTCAAGACTCTTCTCCAGCACCACAATTCAAAGGCATCAGTTCTTCTGTCATCTTTAGTAATTGCCCAGCTATCTAACATAAAACAAGTAATTGCAAAGACTGTGTCCTGTATTAGGCACACCTTAGTCTCCAGACTAACATCGTTGCTTTTCAGCACTCTGGAGAGGTCCCTGATAATGCAATTCTTCTTTTGATTTCCTGACTACTGGTGTTAAGATTGTTGATTGTGGGTATATTATTCTATTTTAAGGTTATCCAATTCCTTCTCTGAGACTAAGTCACCAGCTCAGAAGGCTTACTTATTTTGTGCTTTGGTTTTAGGAACTGGCTTAAAACTTTTAAACTTGTTTTTTAATACTTAAAAAAAAACAAAAACCAACCAATTTTGCATAGGTCCAAAGACTAAAACATAGGGAGCATTCTGGGAAATCAGTGTCCTTTCTTACTCCACTACCTTGGTTATTTTCTTTACTATTTAGATAACTTTTTAAATAAGTTTTGGGTTTAATTCTTCTACTGTTAATATATTTCATATTAAAAAAACACTTCTTACATAAAAATAGTGCTTAGCTTATATGTTGTTCTATATTTTGTGCTTCCCCCCCCCCCACTTAACAAAACTTTACTGCTTTTTGCAATTGCACAAAGATAAACCACCACAACTATGGTTTATTCGGGTTTCCTATTGAGAAATTTTTTAGTTTTTCCTAATCTTTTGTTTTTAGAAATGAAATGATAATGTTTTTGCTTAGAAATTATTTTTTTAAATGAAATAATCTATTTTATTAGAAATAAGCACAACAATCTTTTGCTTGCTACATCTTTTTGTATTTTTGCCAGTCAATGTTTGGGATCAATTCTGGACATGGGCTTAGCAGACCACAGGTATATTACTGTGTCATTGTGCTACTGTTGTTGTTAGGTGATGTCAGGCTGACCCTGAATCGTAATAATCCTTCGTCCAACGGCCCCAAATCCTGCTTGACACCGTACGGTCCTCACAATCTCTGTAAGCCAGTTGTTGCAGTCACTCCGTGACCATCTCCCTCTGTTCTGCTAACCCACTACTTTTCAAGCATGATATCTTTTTTTAAGGATTGGCCTTCCTGATGTTGTGCCCCAAGTGTGTAATGTAAAGTCTCACCATCCTTGTCCCTAAGGGCTACCCTACCTTGTAAGGTAGATGTGGTGGTAGTTTGTGTTGATTTTTTTTTCTTTTGTCAGTCCATGGAATATTCAATACTTTGCACAACATCACAATTCAAAGACATTTTTTATTTGGTCTTACTTACTCAATTTCCAACTTTGTGAAGCAATTGAAAATACCATGGCATGGGTTAGACACTTAGTCTTGAAAGTGACACAATTGCTCTTTAGCTCTTTGAAGAGCTCCTTGACGGCAGATCTGACCTGTACAACGTGTCTTTGGATTTCTTGACTGCTGCTTTCATGACATGTCTGCTCTGAGGCAGCAGCACCAGCTCTGCTGTGTCGTCTCAGTCCAGCCTCATTTAGAACGTGGAAGCTCTAGTGGCATAGTCCTTAGCAAGATGCATGGCTGTCCCAAAGACCACGATTTGTCTGAGGGTTTGAATCCACCGGTCACTCCACAGGAGGAAGATGGGTAGTTCCTGCTCACATAGTTTACAGCCCCAAAGACTCAACTGAGGATCAACTCTGAATCAGAACCAGCTTTTGCATTTTGAGTCATCACAGCAAGAGTCCCTGCTGGCACAGCGGATTAAGCATTGGACTGCTAATTGAAATGGAGAGTTCTAACCCACCACTTGCCCCCATAAAGATCTGCAGCCTTGGGAACCCTGTGGGTCAGTGGCCTGTAGGCTTGCTCTGAGTTGGAATGAACCCATTAGCAGTGAATTTGCTTTCAGTGGTTGGTCGTCATAGCAGAGATAAAGGGCAGGTGAGCTGGTGGGAACAAGTCTCTGAAAGCCTCTGCTCATATGTGCATGTACACTTAATATCCGTCTGCCAGAGGAAGCCGAATGACCAAATTCATTTCTGGGCAGAGAAGCCAGAATGTTTCCCAGAGGAGGATTTCAAACCTTACTGGAGGAATGTGGAATCCCTTACCCTCATTTCTATGGTGGTGTTGTATACTCTAAAGTCAGAACCAACCTGTAGCAGACCCTCCAGTGGGTTTTCAGAGGCATTAAATCAGACAGGAGTTATTTGTCCATCTTTCTCCCATAAGCAGCTGGTGGATTTGAACCACGAATCTTTGTGTTGGCAGCACAATTCCTGACCATTAAGCCACCGGTGTTCTCCAGTAATATTCATTAGCAAACAGGAAATTCCTCAGCAAGATGGATTGGTATAGGGGCAGCAACAGTGGACTCAGGTATCATAGTAGCTCAGGACTGGGCAGTGTTTCATTGTGGTATAGGGTCTCTGTGAGTTGGAATTGACTGCCATACCTAATAACACCAAGAGGGAGTTCTGGTAGCCTAGTGAGTAAAGAGTTGTACTACCAGCTCAAGGACAGGTGGCTTGAATCTTCCAGGTGCTTCTGAGAATGATGTGCAGTCTCTTCCCATGCATTTTGATAGCCTCTGAAACCTTGGGGTCATAGTGACCCTGCGAACAGTGGACCTGCACCCTGCCCTATCCTGTGCCATCCTCATCATCTCTGACACACTCAAGCCCACTGTTCCAGTCCTGTAGGGTTGGACTATGAGAGTAGGCCTCTGGGGGGGGTTTAAAAATTATATTACTGGTGCCAAAATGCAGGCTCTGGCACATTAAAAAAAATCCAGCTATGAATAATGTTTGCTAAATGAATGATTGTAATTAAAATTGTAAATGTTCTTTCATTTTTAAAATATCAATCTTAGGTTTACATGGATTAATATATGATAATAAGACCGAATCTATGAGGACAATTAACCTCCTTGAAAGAATGAATATATATCAAGAAGTTTTTCTCAGTATTTTATATAGAGCTCTACCCATACAGGTATGCAATATTTTGTGACATTGAGTTGCATTTTTATTAAACGAAAGTAAAAGTCTACCATTTTAAATTTAATATGAAGCTTTCACATATAAGTTCATCAATGTACAAAAATATTCTAATTGTATGTATAATAAAACAAATTTTAATTTTTTATTTAAATATTTATTTTTCATCTATAAATGCTTCCTGGCCTATATTGCAAGCTATATATGTGGTCTAGAAGTTGATAAATAATATTATTTGGAAACTTTTAATCTTTCCTTCCTAATTTATCTTTAAGGTAAACAGTTTTGGGAAAATTAACATATCACAAGACCACTTCATGTGAATGAGAGAAGAAGACCAAATTAGGCATAAAACTTATGTAAAGTATAAAGTCAGCACCCTCAAAGACTTCCTTCTTCAACTCTTAGTAGTACAAAGAAAGCATACTTTCTAAACGGCACCAAGGGATATGGGTTTATGGCTTGCTGTTAACAGGTTTTTAGATAGAAAATTTGCTGTACCACACTTTAAAAGTGGTGGTGAGGATAAAGACTTCTCTAACAACCTTTTTTTTATTGTTCCTTTCTGCAGAAATATTTAGAGCCAGTTTATTTTTATATTTATACCTTATTTGGGCTCCAGGCCATCTATGTCGCAGCTCTTTATGTGACCAGCTGGCTGCTTAGTGGTACATGGCTGTCGGGACTGCTGGCAGCTGTTTGGTATGTCACAAACAGGTGAGTTGGAAGTAATATACTGCTCTCCTTTTCCAAAGTGTTAAGTAAACTAAAATAATTTCTATTTCACAGAACCTTATTCTGCCATGTTTGTTTGGGAGGAAGCATTTTTGTCTTTAGTTAACCTGGAAGTGCTTATTTTTTTTTCTTATTTACTAAGAAAGCTCTGCTTAATTATATTTCCAGTTAAGGAATTGCACTGAATTGCACACCCAGAGAGTCATCTGTAAAAATCCTAGTTGTGTTGGCAATTTTCCATACCAGCGTTTCTCCAGCCAGAGATTTCATCTTTTAAAGCAGTATCTTCGTCATCAACCTTAGTTAAGAGATTGTGTGATGCTCACATTAGCAAAGCACAAAGTTCCATAGAAATGGAAGTTCTTATATAAATCAAGATCTAGTATTACTTTCTAAATACTTAGAAAATACTTAATACTAAGTATTAACCCTAAGACTCAATCCTTGGTAAATACCTAAGAGTCTTAAGAAATAGTATTTTTCAAAACTTATGTTGCATGCTTGCCTGGTCTACAGTATTCAAAATACTCATATTCAGTAGAAGGGTATTATGACTATACACTAGTTCTAACATTAATTTTATTTTGTAATCCTAAGAAAAATAATTTTTATTATAACATTATTTGGCTTACAAAATACAAAGGTTTTGCAAGTGCTTTATAAATATCATCCTTTTAACAACCCTATAAATAAAGTAGCAGTCAAGAAATAAAATGATGTATTGCATGGGGTAGATCTGCTGCCAAGGACCTTTTTAAAGTGCTAAAGAGCAAAGATGTCACTTGATCCCGATCCAAGCCATAGTATTTTCATTTGCTTCATATGCATGTGAAAGTTGGACAGCGAATAAAGAAAACCAAAGAAGAATTGATGCCTTTGAATTGTGTTGTTGGCAAAGAATATTGACTCCTCCATGGACTGTCAAAAGAACAAGCAAGTGTCTTGAAAGAAATGCAGCCAGGGTTCTCATCAGAAGCAAAGACGGTGAGACTTCATCTCACATACTTTGGATCTGTTATCAGGAGGGTCCAGTCCCAGGAGAAAGGACTTCATACTTGGAAAATAGAAAACTAGTGACAAAGGAGGAAGACCCTCAGTGAGATGGAGTGACTGTGCCAGTGGGCAGTTAAGCTCGGCAGAGTTTGTGAGGAGGGTACAAGATGGGCGAGGGTTTGTTCTGTTGTACATGGGGTTGCTATGAATTGGAGTTGACTGAATGGCATCTAATAATAACTAAAAACAATAAATTAAGTACTATTATTATCCTCCTTTTATAGTTGAAGAAAATCTTAGAAGGTTAAATAATCTATGTAAGGTCAGAGCTTAATCTTCATCAGAATTCAGCCTTGGGATCTTAGACCTTATCCTGCCTTTATGCCACTTTAATCTCCAGCACATTGCTGCTGAGGGTAAATGCAAGTCAGTTTTCTTTTCGCTCTTGCCACTGTTTGTTTTCTCCACTGCTGTTGAGTGGCTTCTGACTTACGGAGACTCCAGAGGGAACTGCAGCTTAACCTCAGAGAGTTTCCTAACCTGTAAATCTTGAAAGGAACAGACTGCCTCATTTTTCTCCACAGAACAGCTGATGTGTTTGAAGTTAATAGGCAACCGTTTTAACCACTATGTCCCAGGGCTCTTATACTATTAAGAGTAAATAAAAACTTTTTACTGAATGCATTGTATGTGCAGTGGTGGTTTGTGGTGATGAGTATGCGGAACTGAAAACTGACCTATGATTGTGCTTGCTGTGAGATTATACATTCTAGGGAGGTATCTTTAAAAAAAGTTACTGTCAATGACAAAACTATAGGAATACAATACAGAAAGTTAGAAATACATGCAAGAAGTAGTGTCCAAGGGTAATTCATGCAAAATGTGTGTTGGTGGTAGACTAGCATAGTTTTGAAGCCCAGACACTACCACTTAGCTGTTGTCATTGTTTTTAAGTACTATCAAATCAACTAAGACTCATAGTGACCTGTAAACAGACCAGACCCTTGCCCTATCTTGTATCATTCTCACAATGTCCAACTGCTAGGGCCCGTTGTTACAGTCATTGTGTCAGTTTATCTTGTTGAGGGCCTTCCTTTCTTCTGCTGACCCTCTCTGTCTTTCCCAATATGATGTCTTTATCTAAGGATGAGCCCCCCCCCCCCTTCTGACAGCATGGCCAAAAGTATATGAGATGAAGTTCCACCGTCCTTGCCTCTAAGGAGTATCTGAATTGTACTTTCTCAAAGACAGATTTCTTTTTCCTTTTGGCAGACCATGCTATATTCAGTACTCTTTGCTCATACCATTATCCAAAGACATAGATTCTTCTTCAGTCATCTTTAATCACTGCCCAGCTTTTAGATGTATAGAAAGTAATTGCAAATACCATAACTTGCATCAGGTGCACCTGAGTCTTCAAACTTAACATAGCCCTAAACAAATCATAGATATTTTCTAGATGTCTAATTTGTTGCAGGAATGAAGATGACAATGATACTTAGTGCTTTTTAAAGACATTATTATTAAAAAAAATACCACTGTGTTTCAATTTTGTTTTATTTTGTGCAGAATAGATACCACAAGAGTTGAGTTTACCATTCCATTGAGGGAGAACTGGGCACTGCCATTCTTTGCAATTCAGATAGCAGCAATTACTTATTTCTTGAGACCAAATTTACAGCCTCTTTCTGAAGTAAGTATTTTTGTACTATCTTGTAAGTTTTTAAATTTGAAATTTCTTCTTAGATGCTTAGGAAATATAATATGCTTGTAGTAGCTCATTTCTTACGAATAATTCTTTTTCCTTAACCAATTATATATTTACCTTGAGTTAGATGAAGTTTTCTTTTTCCTATTTTGCAAAGAAAATGTTTTCATTTTTTGATGTTGGGGAAAAAAATGTGTTCTACATTATATACCCTTAAATAGTTGCTGCAAACCTACACACACATTTTATGCAAAACTGTCAGCATTTTTAAGCCGTTGCTCTTGAGATGTGATTTGGTATGTTATCACCTCCATAATAGTGTGGAGTACATACACCGTATGTGAATATTTCTATGCAGCATGTCACTTTAGGATATTTAGAGCTTAACTAAAAAATGCAAGGGTTTTCAGAGCAACAGCTTATGGTTTTTCTATTTGGTTTATACAGATATTGGCTGCTCTTGAGAAAACTTGTCTGCAAGGCTTTTTATTATAAGAGACACATAAATTATACAAATTTTTCTCTTTACAGAGGCTGACACTTCTTGCCATTTTCATATCAACTTTTCTTTTTAGCCTGACATGGCAATTTAATCAATTTATGATGTTGATGCAAGCACTGGTGCTTTTTACCCTGGACTCCTTGGACTTGCTGCCAGCAGTGAAGGTAGACTGGAGTTTATTTTCTCAGTTGAGATTTTCATTGCTTAATGGTTATGTGCTAGAATAAACTTAAAATGTGTACATGTGTGATAATAATGCAGTGCTGCTTCTTAGCTCTAATGTGTTATGCTCTGTGGTCAGTTGAAGCTTTATGCAGCCTAGTTGACACTCTTAACTTTTGTTCTGTTTAAGTTAAAAGTTGGTGCTATGTGGGACATACATGCCAAGGACAGTTGTCTTTTATGGAGATGGCTTAAATTCACAAAAGAAGATAAGCATTGTATAATTTCTCACTGTATATTGCCATATTTAAGGGACTCAACTAAGATGTAACAGTTTTTCTTTCTAAAATATTCATAATAGTACTTATCTAATATGGGATGTGAAACCTTTGAACTGTCCGAAGGTCACATATTAAATATAGCGTTTAAAAGAGGCTCCTACTCTGCCAGCGTGCGCTCCTGCCATTTACTAGCCTGGCTTTTAATGTGCTGCTGCTGCTGCTCTTATGCGCCAGCAAGTCAGAACTGACTGAAAGCTGACCTCCACTAGTTTTCAGAGGCTGTAAATCACACAGGAGAACATTGCCCATCTTTATTCCGCGGAGTAGCTGGTAGATTTGAACCATGTGTCTTTGACTTGGCTGAGGAATTCCTTACTGCGTGCATTAATGTGTTGTGTATACATTTTTAAACTCACTTCATACAGCGTGGGAGGGGAAGACCCTTGATGAGATGGATTGATTCTGTGACTGGGGTAATGGGGGTAGGTGTGTCAGAGTCAATAAGATTGTCACAGGATAGAGCAGGGTTTAGGGCTATTGTACACAGGGTAGCAAATGACTTGATGGCATATAGCAACAACAACAACAACAACAATGCTACTGTTACAAGGAACAGTAATTTAACTGTTTTCCACATGTAATTAAAAATGGCGGGTAGAATTCTTCCCTTCTCTGCAGGAGCCCCAGGCTCACTTCCCAGACAGTGCACCTCCAGCAGCCACTGCCCATTTGTCACTAGGGGCCGGACAAGTTTTCATCAGCACTCTCAGCTGAAGTTGGACTAGCAAGAAGGCATAGCAATCTGATTAAAAAAAAAAAAGCTTATCTTCAGCTGATCGTGGACTTGCAGAGGTGAGATCAGTATTCTGTTCCTCTTTTTTGGGGTCACTATGAGCAGACTTGACACTAGTTGACAACAGCAGTGATGCAATTATCTCCATATCCAAGGCAGCAATTTAGTTAATACCCAACAAAAATGCTCATTTATTCCCTTATAAGAATGCTGTAGGTTTTGGAGATTAAATAGTTCTGGATTAGATACTACATTTACTCAACCAAAAGGCTAAGGAGCGATTAGGTCTAGATTGTTGTTGTTAAGTGCTGTCAAGTCGTAGATGACTCATAGCGACCCTATGAACAAAAGACCTGAACACTTGTATAACTTCCATCGTTTCTCCAAGTTCACGGAGGCACGCTGTTTCGGAAGTGGATTCCACTTCTGCTTCCAGGCTTGTTTTAATTGGGGAGCTCCACCAAACACTGTCTGCCATGGGTTACTATTATCGCATTTGACACATTAGTGTCAGACAGTGTTCAGCTTCACAGCAACCACGAGTTACCTCGGTACAGCAAATAGAAACTAGAAAGCATTAAACTCTGACAACAAATTTGCACTGTCTCCTGAGCCACTATACTAGGATAGACACCAGAGAACGTGCTGATGGAAGACATTACTCCTAGCCATAGGAGCTCACCATCTGGGTTGGAAAAATAGAATAAGTGGAGAATGTTAGATGATGTCAAAGTGATAAGCTAGAAGGAGAAAAATAGAATTTTTAGGCTGCAAGTTCCACAGAAATGGAAAACCTGAGCTGAACCACAAAGGAAAGTAGACTCAGAATATCAAATACAGCAAGAAAATAAAGAAAAATCAGCCAAGTTAAAAAATTGGTGACACTTAATACTTAGGCAGGTGGAAAGCAATGGATGACTACGCGCTGCTGATAAGATGTTAAATTGTTAAAGCCTTTCTGTAGTATACTTTTGCAGTAGATATAAAAAACCTAAAAGTATATATTCTTTCACCAACAATCCCACTTCTGGGAGTTTATACTAAGGAAAAAATAAAGTGGAAACAACCTGAAGCAGTTGTTGTTGTGTACCATAGAGTCAGAACCAACCCATCCCTGACCGTCCAGCAGGTTTTCAGAGGCAGTTAATCGCATGGGAGGAGATTGTCCATCCTTCTCCCACAGAGACATTATTAAATCAATCATGCTGTTGAACTAATCCAAAGGTCAGCAGTTCAAATCTCCCATTTCACAGGAAAAAGACGAGACGATCTGTTTCTGTAAAGGTTAGAAACTTTATGGGGCAGTTCTGCTCTGTCCTAAAGGCTTCTTACAAGTTGTAATTGATTGGACTGTAGTTGTTTGTGTAAGGAAGTATAATGGAGCCACTAGTCCCTAGCACACCCCCCCTTTTTTAAAAAAGTAATATATATATATACAGAGAAAGTGAGAAAATGGGAAAGATACAAAGCACAGGGTTGATGTGCTGCACATTCTCTTTTGTTTTTTTAGCTTTTTCACATTTTTTTCCTTCCTGAAAGGAAAATGTATTTAATTTAAAATTAGAAAAAAAGAAAAAAAATTGCACTGTTTTGACACACACATAAAATTAAATAATACAGCAAAGTTATGTCATATTCCACTCTAAACTTAGTTAAACTTTTATATTTGAAATGATGTTGGTGTTAGAAGTAGTTATAAGTGTCATAATCTAAGGAGGAACAGTATTATAATGAAAAATTCTTGAGTTATAAAAGCATGTTGCTAGGATCAGCTCTGAAAATAACTAGCTCTCAAAACTTTTGGCAAGTCATTTCACTTCTCTGAGCTTTAGTTTCTCTATATATTGGGATCACTGATCTCTAAGCATGTCACATGAAAACGTGTTGGAATAATTGGTATGGGGAGAAAGTAATCCAAATTGACAGCACAGTGTGATAAAAAGAGCCATATCCTTTCTTATACACCGTATACCTTCTTATCATGGATAATAGAAAATGTCTTTCCAGTGAAAGCTCAAGTTTCTAGTAAAAAATGTGTACAAGGGTGTTTTTACAATTGGTCCTGCTAAGATTAGTAGATGGCCATTTATGAGAAGCCTCAAGTCAATGTACTCTCAGATGCTTAACCAGCTATAAGAGTCTATACTTTCTATCAGCAGCTCCATCTGTGGCTCAGTTCCCCAACTCCTCTGTGTCATTTGGGTTCAAAGATTTGCTAGAAGGTTCTCCAGAGACTTAGACACCTTGGGAAAATGACTCGCGTGACTATAGATATGCAGGCCAGGATGAAACTGGTGAGCATTGGGCCACGCTGGATGCAACAGGAAGCTTAAACATGGTGGCACTGCTGTCCTGTGTTGGTATTTTCACACACTCCCCAGTGTGGAGAGTAGTCTCTATATTGCTGCTTCAGCTGTTAATGGTTTGCAAGACCATGCTGATGAAGACCATGTGTCTGCAGTTAAGGTAGCTGGAGATGGGAGGGGGTTAACTGTAATGGCTGAAAAAAAGTCAACTTTAACGCCACAGCAGGTTTTAAATATAAAGCAAAATAGTAAATAATTTTATTAAGGATATACTATTGTTTCATTAAAGGCTAAAATATGAAGGTTAATGAAGTTTTACTAATCCATTGTAAAAACAAAAACACACACCAATAAGTACCTGATGACGTTGTTGTTCGGTATCATCAAGCTGGAACTAACTCATACATGACTCTTCAGAGGCAGTAACTCGAACGGGAAGAGGTTACCTGTCCTTCTCCTCTGGAGCACCTAGTAGATTTGAATCATCTGAGTTGGTAGTGCAACCCCTTACCACTCAGCTGACAGAGCTCCCTAAATATTTGATAAATACTTTTAAAGTATTCCAAACAGTTCCAGACATTATGAAGTAGGTACACATCTTCCTCTTCCTGCTAAGTTCTGCTAAAATCTTGGACAGAACAGATAAAAATAAGCATGAGAAGATTCCAAAAGTGGAGATAGAGTAGATTGCCGAGGCCCTTTGAGGCTCAGAGGGAAAAGAATGAGAGTGAGATTGCTAAATTTTGTGCCTCATATTTCCCAGATAGAGGTATTGGACAAACCAGGAAACCAGAAGCATCAATGAACTCAGTGGGGAGGGAAAGAGGGGGAAGAAAACAAACCAACCCAACCCTGTGATCTCAAGGCAACAGACCAGAAAAGGAAAACCAGGTACCACAGAATACAACTACAGCTCCACTCCCACTTCCATCAGCAGAAGCTGAGAAGAGATACTGAATTTCCACCTCCCCTTACCTATGGCATGATAGTCTTCACTTCCTGCCACAAGGATTTTAGAGGACACCTAGTAGCAAGCCAGCACTTTGACCATCTCCCAGAGTGCTAGCAAAAGCCGTTGGGAAGCTTGGACCTCCATCCCTAACAAGTGGGAGTAAGACTTCCTTTCCCTTTACTGCTAGGACAATAGTGTGGTGGTGGTTGTTGTTAGGTGCTGTCAAATCAAGTATGACTCATAGCAACTCTATAAACAAAAGATCTGAACCCTGCTCTATCCCGCGCCATCCTGACACACAAGAGCCCATTGCAGCAGTCACTGTATCAGTCCTCCTGGCTGAGGGTCTTCATCTCTTTCACTGACCTTCCAACCTTCCCAGGATCATGTCCTTCTCTGAGGAATAGCCCCTCCTAGCAACATGCCCAACGTATATGAGCTGAATCCTCATTATTCATGCTTCCAAAGAGCACTCCAGTAGTCTCCAAGACATACCTATTTGTTTTCTTGGCCATGCATTGAATATTCAGTGCTCTTCTCCAACACCACAACTCAAAGGTGTCAGTTTTTCTGTCAGCTCTCAGATGAATAGCAAGTGATTGGAAAGACTATTCCCTGAATCAGACTATGGCACCTCAGTCCTCAAACTGACATCATAACTCCTCAGTAGTTCGGAGAGGTTCCTAACTACAGATTTTCCCAGTACAGTGTGTCTCGTTATTTCCTAACTGCTGGTACCAAGGGCGTTAATTGTGGATCCAAGCAAGATGAAGCTGTCGACAGTTTCAGTCTCCTCTCCGTCCATCATGATGCTGCTTATAGGTCCAGTGGTAAGAATCTTTGACTTCTTGACATTGAGATGCAGTCCATACTGAAGGCTGCATTCCTTGATCTTCTGCAACAAGTGCTTCAAGTTGTCCTCACTTTCAGCAAGCAAGGTTGTGATAGTAGAGTATGTAAAAATGGAAGTGAGGACTTTCACCAGCCCTTAGAGATAACAGCTCCTACCTGCACCCTGTGATATGAGGAATAAAAGCAACCTCCCCTTCCCAGCCAAGTAGAGGTTTAATAGAGAACTTGAACTTTCTCCCAGATATCCCTCCCCTGCCTCCCCCACTCCATCCCAAGGTATTAATGGGATTCCAGGCAAGGTATTTATCCTCCCTCGCCCATCTAGAAATGAGGATGTTCTTCCTTCACTGGCATAGCCCTGGTGTGGTATTACAGGAGGCCTCCTGACATAGAAGACGGATCTAAGGTTTTATAACGTGATGTTCATGATGAACCACATACAACTGAAAACTACCCATCATGCTAAGAACCAAGAGCCTCTCATTTGGAGAAGACACCAATATATGCCAACATTGAAACACTGAATTGAATTACTAACCGAATCTAAAGTAACCATTATTAAAAAAAATGCTTCATTGAGCAATTACAAACAGGCTTGAAAAGAATTGGAAATTCTCATCTCATAAATAGAAGATGCAAAGAACCGAATGGAATTTTAGAAGTGATAGAGCAGAAATTTTTAAAAAAGTAAAAGGCTGGAGAAAAATATGTCATGCAGAAATAGCTATCCTACTATCAGATGAAATAGACATCAGAGCAAAGAAAATTACCAGAGACAGAGATGAACATTATATAATGATTAAAGAGTCTGCCAGGAACATCTAACAATACTAAATGTATAAGCACCAAACAGAAGAAAACATAACTACAAAATAGGTGAAGCAAAAACGGACAGAACTGAAAGGATAAATGGACAGATTCACAATTATCAGTCATTTCAGTATCAACACTGATTAAGCACCCAGACAGAAAATCAACAGGCCATATAGAACTTAGCAGCACCATCAGCTAACAGTATCTGTGGAACTCTCCATCCAACAACAGCAGACTGTACACTCTTTCCGAGTTCCTGCAGAAAATCCAGCAAGGTAGATCTTATCATGGTCTGTAAAAGAAAATTGTTAAACAAATTTAAAAGGATTGAGATCAAAAGAATATATTCTCTGACCACAGTAGATTCAAACTAGAAATCTGTAACAGAAAGATTAATAGGAAATGTCTAACTTTCAGCAACTAAATAACACACTTCTAAATAGGCTACAGATGAGAGAGGAAGTATTGATCTGAGTGAAAATGAAAAATACACCGTAAGCACTCTGTTTATATTAGAAAAGACAGTAAGCCTGGAATCAATAATTTAAGTTCTAACCTTAAAAAACTAAAAAAGAATAAACTCCAAAGGAAGTAAGAGAGGATGGGGAATAAAGATAAGAACAAAACCAAATGAAACTGAAAACAAACAGTAGAATCTTAAAAAAAAGATCTAGTTCTTTAAAAATGAGTAAAACTGGCTAGCTACAGCAATACTTCATACTTGCCTTGGAGAATGAAAACTTGGGAGTCCAGAAGTATTACTTAAATATTCTAGGCACTATACCATAGTGGTTAAGCCAGAGTCTAGAGCCAGCCTGCCTGGATTAGGATGAATCAATACATGTGAATTGCTAAGAATAGTGCTGGCTATTTTATGAGTGCTGAGCAAATGTTAGCAATAGTTCATTCTGTTGAATGATGAGGAATATCAGTAGCACAATCCATTGAAAAGAGTTTCCATTTTTGCACACAGAAAGGCTACCTATTTTGTGCTGCCTTGCTCTTAGACTGGGTTGTATTGAAGCCGCACTGGGTATTTCACAAATAATCCAGGCCTTTCCAGTGTGCACTGCTGCTTATTGTGTATTTCTGGCTGCTCACCATCAGTGTGATGTTGAACCTAAGAAACCATTACATTGGCAGAACCATGGCCACTTGTTAAATAAACTGCACTTTTTAAGTAGTAGAGTGTGCTTACTTGATTAAAAAACCACTAGATAAAAAACCAGCATAACAGATCCATTGTTCACAAATTTTAATCCTTCAGCACCTTCAGTTTTTGTAGCAGATCCTTGTAGCAACTTTGTCTGGAAGGCGTCATCATCTCTTGTTTAAAATGAGCCTATTCTGACACCTTCATGCACAGTCTGGTCCATCGCGGGTTCAAGGCCTCACTGCTCGGATTTTGACTGTGTGGCCCATGTTCTAGACCACTGTTCTCTGCTGCCTGCTGTGAATGTAATGAGGTTTTTAAAAAAATAAAACGTCCTGCCCCAGAAGTTTCCAGTCTCCTTGGAGGGATCAGGCGTGCAGACCAAATGAAGCTGTTCTAGTCTTCAAATATACAAAGAGGACAGCACAGGATCGGCCAAAGTTTTGTTCTTTTCTGCATTGCATTTCTGTGAACTAGAACCAACTCAACACCTACAGAAACACGGAGTATGGCAAACTGAGAATAATGGTATATTGTAAGGTGCTGGTTATTGGCTTTAGACAGTAATTGTACAGGAATGGGGGAAAGAACAGGCGATTACAGTAGATGAAATTTGCCAGTTTGGAAAATACTCTTACACCATTGTTTTCTTCTTCCACTTTGTATTATCCCTGCTCGTTTTTTTCTTTGGTTAATGTCATCATGAAATGTAAAGTATTAACAAGTGAAGAGGAAAAACTGGTATGTATGTGATTTGCTTTCTTTTTTTCTATTGTGAAGGTTGAAGTAGGGTGTGCTTTTTGCATTGTTTGTAACCTGAGATCCATTCATTCAGGGACAGGATGTCAGTATGTCACTGTCTCTTGATGAAATCTGTTTAATCACCTAATCTCTGGTTGTTGCAGGTGACATGGCTGTATGGTATTCAGATAACAAGTTTATTCCTGGTCTGCATTCTTCAGTTTTTTAATTCTATGATTCTTGGATCATTGCTTATAAGTTTTAATCTCTCAGTATTAATTGCAAGAAAATTGCAGGTAGGATATTTTCTGCCCTTAACTCAATTTTCTTTTCAAATCAGTTGCTTGAATGAGCCTTATTTAGTAAAGTACAAGGAGAAAAATGACCATATGCGCACTGAAGAACACTAGTGGTGTCACTTACTTTTTCATGAAGTTGCATAGGGTAACATGTGTTTCCAGTATTTCTGTGATCATACCCAGTTCTTTAATTTTTATTTTTATTGTTTTATATAGATTTGCTTACAAAGTTTGTATACATTGTATTTCACACTGTTCTTCATTCACATTTTGTTTCATATAATCATCCTCATCCATTGTTGTTGTTGTTGTTATGTGCCATAGAGTCATTATGCACAACAGCCCTAAACCCTGCTCTATCCTGCGCCAACCGCACCGCCTCTGACACACCCATCCCGATTACCCCAGTCACCGAATCAATCCATCTTATAGAGGGTCTTCCCCTCCTGCGCTGTCCCTCCACCCTCCCAAGCATGATGTCCCTTTCCAAGGACCTGTCCCTCCTGGCAACATGTCCAAAGC